TTTTGGCAAGAAACATTTTCTAGTCCTTTTCATTGACATGGGTGTGGACCATGTTCTTCTGGCAGCAGTTGGAAACTAATCTTGGAGAACCACGATACCCAGCAGTAAGTAGTAATGTGCAGATACTCTGGTGTCTCACTGTAAATTACCCTGTAATGGTGTGTAGTACATTGATATTATGTTTGTCTTAAGCATAACGTAGCATTTCACTCCTTAAATAAATCCTGATAGTAGCGTTATTTGAAACATCTACGGTGTATCATGCTGAAGCATGAGCTTTGAGACTGGTTTGTTGAAGCAGTGAACTTTTTTTAATTGCTAGGTGTGTCCACTCATAGGGAGAGAATGAGCAGGGAGAGGGAGAAAGCACCTCCCAGTGGGGCATCATCATGTTGCAGCACGGTTTCCTTTTCTCCCTGCTATTGAGATTCTGGTTATGTGCACACATGTGCCTGGTTTGTTCTTCAAGCCACCAGGGCCAGGATTCAAACCATGGTCAGCCATGTGGGATCTGGCTCCCTTTACCTCTGAGCTCACTGGGCTGGCCTAGTGAATATGTTTTATATGGAAATTTGATTTCTCTACATGGAGTGTTCATGGCCTTTCAAACATGTGTACAGTCTCTAGAACCTCCACATAATTTTTAAATTAACACCAGTAGGAAAAACAATAACATCAAGTTGGAGAAACCTGGATCATCTTAACTAAGTGATCAAAATTAATATCACCAATATTGGGACAAACTGGCATCATGTGCTTCCTAATAAGGTACACAGAAGAGAGGACATATCTTCATGTCTGCAGTGCTCTTGCCAGAAATGCCTAAGTTGACTTTCTGGTAAAATGTCAGACAGTGGTGCATTGGTAATACAACTGGACACACATGGGAAGGTTCTGAGCTCATGTCTGCAGCCTCCCTGTACATGCCAGGTGTGTGCTATGTGTGTTCATGATCCTGGCTGGCTAAAGCCAGTGTGGATCCTGGCATGAAGACCCTACTGGGGTATCTGCTTCTCCCCACCCCATGCCACTTTTTTGTCTTTTTCTATCATGAAAAAAAATAAACAACAATAACAAAATCAGACAAACCCAAATTGAAGGATATCCTACAAAGTTAACTGACTTCTGGGGCCAGCAGGTGGTGTGGTGGTTGGGGTGCTGGACCCACATGACCGACCATGGTTCAAGTCTCGGAACTGGTGGCTTGTTTTCTCACTTTCCCTTTCTCTCTCTCTCTGGTCAAATTAAAAATAATAATGATGATAATAAATAGAATTAAATAATTATTTTAAAAAAGAATTATTATTGACTGACTTCTGTTCTTAAAAATAGCAAGATGGGGGACCAGCAGTTGGCATTAATGGTTACCTTGCTGGGTTCCATGTAGCCGACTGCGGTTTAAGTCCTGGACCAGATGACTTAAAACTCATGTCGGGTGTGTGTGCGTGCAAACCCAAGATCCCAAGAGGAGAATGGAGGAGAAGGGATTGCAGTGTCATTCCAAGGGGGTAATTTCTTGCTTTCTGTCTCTTTCTCTCTCTCCGGCGAGCACATGCACCCTATAGCAAAGATCTCTCTTAAAAAAAAAAAAAAAGATGGGGGCTGGTACATGGCATGGTGGTTGGGGCGCTGGACTCCCACATGACCAACTGTGGTTTGAATCCCAGACATGATAGCATGCCTTCCTGTTTTCTCTCTCTCTCTCTCATCAAATTAAAAAATAATAATAAATAAAGTAATTCTTTTTAAAAAAAAATTAGGAAAGGCAGTGATTGAAGAATATTGTAGATTAAAGGAGACTAAAGAGACATCATAGCTGTATGTAAAATGTGAACCTGGATCAGATCCTAGGCAGGAGGAAAAAAGACTGTATAAAAGTATATTTTTGGGATAATAGAATTCGAATATAGACCATAGAATGTTAATGTCTTTGATTTTGATAATTGCACTGTAATAATGTAAGAATGATCATTTTCTTAGGGAATACACATGAAGTGTTTAAGGGAAATAGGTGGGAAAATGGTGATGAACATGTGCACGTATAGGTGTGTGCACAGAGAACATGGTAAGGCAGATGGGGTAGAATATAAACACGATGAATCTGGCTGAAGTTTATGTGCAGTTTCCTTATTCTCTCCTTGCAACTTTACTATAAGTTTGAATTATCATAATAAATTTACAAAAGCATAACTGAGTTGGTGTTTAAATTTTTTGACCTCAGCTTATCATCACAGGAATGGCTTTTATGCCAAAACGCTTAATTATGTCTTCAGTCTCTGGGACCCTCGGATTGCAGATTAGCCGGTATCAGGGTTACAAGAAGTGTGTTTTAACATCAGTGGGGGAGAGAGAGAATGTTCACAATTCAGGTATCCCAGTGGGAAAACTGAATTACGTACTTCTACCTTAATAGGTGGTTTTATACTGCTTTTTACAGAACTGTTTAAAAAATACCAAACACAACCATGTTCAGATATTCTCAAAACTGCTGTAGACAGCAGTCTACTTTATTAAGTAGACTGTTTTACTATTTTTTAAACAGTATGCTTTTTTCCATGTGTTTTATTGGTACAAATTAGAGAATAGCAGTAATTACTACCTAGCTTAAGAAGCAGCTGGATGTTATGTTATGCTGGGTTTGTTTTTTGTGGTTTGAACCTAAAGTTTTTTATTTGAAGCTTGTCTAAGTACTAATTTTCTTTCTTAAGTATTTTCCTGACTTTGACAGTATTGTTTGCCTATTGAAAACCAAACAAAAAGTTTGAAAACTACAAAGAAGAAAACAAATTCAGTCATAATCATTTAATTCAGAACTAGCTGCTAAGAGAATTTCCTTTCTGTAGTTTCAAAAAAATTAATCAGCATTATACTTTTATACAAGTCATCCATGCTTCCCCTCATGTAACATATCATGTACATCCTCCCACATCATTAAAAATTCTTTGACCTATTATTTTTAAACTTTTAGTAATATTTCATCATACAGTATACCACAATTTACCCCTTTTTCTGAGATACTAATTTTGGAGGCGAGTAATCAGCTTATATTTTTTACCAAGATTTGGAAGATGTAGATGAGCAGATATCATAATTTACATAGTTTATGAACAGAAGTAATTGGACCTGTTTTTCTTGTTTCTTAATGTCTGTTATCTTCTGAGAAGTCCTGTGTGGAAGAAAAGCTTTCTAGGAGTCACATTACCAGTACTTGTTAGAATGAAGAATCAACCCAGAGGACTGGCTCTGCGGCACAGTGGTGATGTGCTGTTCAGGAGAAGCCAGGTCCCACCTAAAGATCTCTGTCAAATCTTCAGGCTGATGAGCCTGAAACACATGGGCACGTGTGTGAGTGTCCAATATGTGACAGGCTGAAGGACTGGTGGAAGGGAATTGAGGCCTGACCAGACCCTGTGCAAGGGACTCATCTCCTCACTGTTGCTCTTCGTTTCATGGCATGCATGCTCTCTATTATGAATAAAGAAAAAAAAACCTGGAAGTATGCTTTTTTTTTTTTTAATACAAAAAAAGGATACTTTGGACCAGCAGGTAGCATGATGTATGCTTTTTTTGGTATAAAAAAAGGATACTTTGGGCCAGCAGGTGGCATGGTAGTTAAGGCACTGGATCCCATGTGGCCAACTCCACAGTTCAAGTCCCGGATTCAGTGACTTGAAAGACATGCCGGGCACGTGTGTGTGCACACCCCAAATCCAGAGAGGAGAATGGAAGAGAAGGTATTACAGTGTGGTCATCCCTCCAGGGAATGATTTCTCACTTTCCCTCTTTCTCTGGTGTGCTTCACACAACATCTTTTGTTAGCTAATCTTTAAATGTTTGGAATTTTCTAATAACATGTACTCTATAGAATATTTTTTCAAATTAAGAAAATTATTATAAATTTAAGGTTTCCATTTGGCAGAGGAATTTAGATTTTGATAACTGTATGTATATTTTAGAAATAGGTAAGATGGCTCATACCAGATTTAAATCTTTAGACATGTTTTTAGGAAGAACAGCAGACTCAGGGCAACAGGCATTACTTTTTTTTCCTTTTTTTAAAGAGTTTTTTGCCTTAGCGTGTGTGTGTTCATCAGGGAGAGAGAGAGAGACAGTGAGAGGGAAAGTGAGAAATCACCCCTGAGGGGGAATGGCCACACTGCCATTCCCCAGGATCTTGGGCATGCACACACATGTATCTGGCATTAGTTTCAAGCCACTGGGTCTGGGACTCGAACTGCAGTCAGCCATGTGGGAGTCCAGCAACATAACCACTATGCCACCTTCTGGTCCCAGCAAACATTAAAGGTTAGAAATTAGAACAATATAATCTTGGTTACAAAACCCAGAAATGATCTTGTAGGTCAGTCCTCGGAATTAGTTTAAAATGCTATTATTGGTCACAAAAATGTTTAATTATTTGACCAGAAAACACATATGAATAATTGGAAAGTTTTTCCTTTGAGTCTGTTTATACTTTTCCAGCCATAAAAAAGGATTCCTTTTTTTGGGACCAGCAGATGGCGTAATGGCTACATCACTGGACTCTCATGTAGTTGACTGTGGTTCGAGTCCTGTATCTGGTGGCTTAAACCCACACCAGGCGCGTGTTCCTGCAAGCCCAAGATCCCAGGAGGAGAATGGAGGAGAAGAGATTGCAGTGTGGCCATCCCCCCTGGGGGGGTGATTTCTCGCTTTCTGTCTCTCTGTCTTTTCGGAGAGCACACACGCCCTGTAGCTAAAAACCTCTTCAAAAAAAAAGGATTCCTTTTTTAACAAAGTGGATGCTTTAAGTGTATGTGGAAGTTATAAGTTCAATAGTTATGTATGTGAATATATTATACGTTTTCTAGTGCCATAGAGTCCTCCTGATTTAGGTATATGGTGGTGTCTCAAATTTCATAAATGAATACCTGAAATACTTACATATTGCATTCATCTGGAAGGAAACTACTAGTAGACCCACTCAAAGGATTAACATCTCTTAAATTATGTTTTGGCAGGTAAACCTAGCCTTTAAGCAACCTGGAAAGAGGCTAGAACACCAAGGAATTAGAATTGAATTTGTAGGTCAAATTGGTGAGTTTTAAAATAGTATTACTTTTTTTCCCTTTGATAACTGAGTTTCGAGAGGGTTGGATTTGGCATTTAGTTGAATTAGAGCCTAGCTTTGTGAAAGGAAGGCACTGATTTTGCAAAAGAGCGAGAGGACTTATTATATAAATATATTAAATCATGTTTCTTTTCATTGTATTAAATGATATTTTACTCATCCTGCTTTTGTTTTTAGACTTACTAAAAATGAAATGAATTAATGTAAACTACCACCTTGAAAAGGAATTCAAGTAAATCAGTTGATTTGCTGAAATTTCCATCTGCTTGCATTTTTACCAGCCTTATTCATAATTAGCAACCTCATTCCCATCCTTCATTTTCTAATTGCCCCCGTCATTTGTCTTCCTGACTGAGTGTGTGCTTGTAACCTGACTCACCTGTCAACAGCAAAGTCCATGTGAAAAGGAAAGATGTAGTTTATTCTTGACTTGGATCAACTTGTGTATATGTACTTCAAGATATTCCTGATTTAACAGGGAGTCAGACCACATTTATATCTTTTGGTACTGCAGATTCAGAAAGAAAAGAGAAAGTGTGTCTTTATGATAGTGTCTACATAACTAGGTTTTAAATCTAACTTTCTAAGTTTTGCCTGTACATTTTTGAAGTATAAAAATTGGAATGGGTGGGTATTGATTTTTGTATCCTGGTTTAGATTGTACTGGAGGGGCAGGTTATAGTGATTAACTGACAGTTGGTTTTAGTCATTTATGTATTAACAGTTTATCAAGATAATGCCTAACTAAACCAATCACAAAATAGAATTTGTGTTTGAAGGGAGAATGCTCAAATAATTGCTGGGTATTATGTCAAAGAGCCCCTCCTACATGAACAAAATGAACTCATTTTTAATAGAGATTTTCATTGTGCTATGTCTCTAGAATTTATTTATGCCTAAATGAAGCATAATAGAATAATAATGCAGGTCAGATCATAGCTTTAGTTTATTAAAGTAGTGAAAAATCCAACTAATTCTTTTGGGAAAAACTCTTTGCTTTGAAGGTAGAAGTTTGGGTTTTATTGAAATGGATATTAAATATAATATAATTGGTCTTTTGCTTTTTAAAATTTCTTAGAACTTTTCAATGACAAGAGTAATACTCACGAATTTGTAAACCTAGTGAAAGAACTAGCCTTACCTGGAGAACTGACTCAGAGCAGAAGTTATGATTTTGAATTTATGCAAGTTGAAAAGCCATATGAATCTTACATCGGTGCCAATGTCCGCTTGAGGTATGAATGTGTTAGACACTGTAAACAATACAACCAGAAAGTAGTGGATATTAATTGATATCTTATTTGAACTTGTAATTCCTGACTGGGAGACTTAAGATCTTTTAAAAATTATGTCATATATTTTGTTTTGTCTACCTAATGCTGACCTGAGATAATAAAAGCTTTACAATTACAGATTTAGAGAACCCCATTATGAAATGTTTTAGTCATACACTTATTTCCTTTGTATGAATTGTCCCTTAGGTACTTTGTTGTAAATTGAAGTACCCTCCAAATCCATTAGTTTCCTATTAGTCTCATTTAGTATGTTGTTTAGAAGTGATCTGCTGCCCCAAAGAGGCTGAATTCTCCGGAATCATGCCTAGTAGTGAATTGGCAAGACTGGATTAGGAGATTAGTTTTCTTTTTTTTCTTTAAGAGAGATTTTGCTATAGGGCATGTATGTTTGCTGGAGACAGAGAGAGAGAGACAGAAAGCTAGAAATCACCCCTCAGGGGGGATGGCCACACTGCAATCCCTTCTCTTCCATTCTTCTCTCAGGATTTTGGGTATGCACACACACATACCTCATGTGAGTTTTAAGCCGCCAGGTCTGGGACTTGAACCGTGGTCGACCATGTGGGAGGAGTCCAGCAACATAACCGTTACACCATCTGCTGGTCCCCAGGAGCTCAGTTTTCTAAAATTCCCAATCCAGTATGTTTTCCCTTCACTGGTTCTTAATGCCGGAAGCCAAGTATGCCTCAGATATTAAGTGAAGATGTTTCCCTGAATGAATCAGGTTCAGAATGTTGCTTTCCTTGTTTAACTTGGCATTATTCATCTGGAACAGGGTGTGACAACCCACATTCCAAATAGCAGTGTTTTAACTAAATAGGGATTTTAAATGAAAGAAGTGATCTGGAGAGATTTCCTCAAGTAGGCTTATTGATAGCCCACCAAAGTCATCTGGAAAGTATTCAGCCTATTCTTAAAATTGCACTTTGATTGTGTGTGTGAAGGTGCATTAAAAAAACAAAGCAAAACAAAACAAAAAGCTAGAACTTCTTTATGAAGTAAATGAAGTGTTGGTACTGAAGGAGTTTTAGCAAGGAGGAGAAAGCTGAGTTGAAATTGTTTATTTAAAATACTTATTTGTCACAGGTGACTTACATGAGCCTCTCCATTAACTTTTTAGGTATTTTCTTAAAGTGACAATAGTAAGAAGACTGACAGACTTGGTAAAAGAGTATGATCTTATTGTTCACCAGCTTGCCACCTATCCTGATGTTAACAACTCAATTAAGATGGAAGTGGGCATTGAAGATTGTCTGCATATAGAATTTGAGTATAATAAATCAAAGTAAGTACTTTTCCCAGATAAATGTTAAGGGAAAATTTAAAAATTGAGCTTTTCAGATCTTTGTAAATTGATCAGAGTAAGGACAGAAATGATATTAATCTGATGTTAATAAACAATTAACCATCTGTGTGGTAAGTGAAACTTTAGGAATTTGGTCTGGCTTATAACTTTGTGCAGGTGTTTCTGTTTTTCTGTTCCTAAGAAGTCTGCTTGGCCGGGACTAGCAGGTGGCGTGGTGGTTAAGGCGCTGGACACTCCCACATGGCCGACTGGGGTTCGAGTCCTGGACCTGGTGGCTTGCTTTCTCACTTCCTCTCTCTCTCACTCTCACCCTCTGTCTCGCTCTGGTCAAATTAAAAATCAGTGAATGAATAAATAAATAATAAAATAAATTGTTAAAAAAAAAAAAAGTCTGCTTGGCTACTTTTTGTAGAGGATCTTATCATCTCAGAAGGCCGCCAGTCCCTTGTTTCTAAACATTTATTTAATTTTTAAACTTTTTTTTTTTTTTAATTTTTGTAGAGGGTGTGTGTTTTGCTCACCAGAGAGAGAGACAGGAAAAGTGATAAAGCACTCCCTGTGAGGAATGGCCATGCCACATTGCTCCTCCTCTTCCTCTGTTGTCCTTCAGGATTCTAGGCATGCACACATACACACCTGGCATGACCCCAAGCTGCTGGGTCTAGGACTTTAACTGTGCAGTTGGTCACGTGGTATCTAGCCACCCCAACCACCATGATGACTGGCCCTAAAAATTTATCTTAATGGCTTCATATCACTCATCTTGATAATCTTATTAAAACTAGACAAAAATATTTTTTAATCTGAATATACAAGCAATACATTTTCATTGTTGAAAATTCAGAGGATATAGAAAAGTAAAAGGAAGTTAAAATATCACCTAGTTTTACCTTTACTGTTTTTTTTTTTTTTTTTTGGAGAGGTTTTTCGCTATAGGGTGCGTGTGCTCGCCAGACAGACAGAGAGAGACATAGAGACAGAAAGTGAGAAATCACCCCCCAGAGGGGATGGTCACGCCGCAACCCCTTCTCCATGCTCTTGGGATCTTAGGCACGCATGCACATGCGCCCGGCGTGAGTTTTAAGCCACTGGGTCCGGGACGCGAACCGCAGTTTACTACGTGGGAGTCCAGCGACATAGCCATTACGCTAACTGCTGGTTCCCTACCTTTACTGTTTGACTACTGCTACTACCTTGTGTACATCTTTCCTTGGGAAAGAAGGAAGGTATGTATGTTTATGTATGTTGTAACTTTACAAAATGGGCTCATATTTTGTTTATTGTTTAACTCCTTTTTAAACTATTTTGGAAAATTTGAAACATACCAAAGTACATGAACAGTATACTGAACAATGTAATGAATCCACACGTACTCGCTGCTCAGCTCCGGCAGATGTCGTCAATACATGGTCAGATTTGTTTCATCTGTACTTAGCTCCCACAGTACTCACAGATTATAGTGAAGCAAATTCCAGGTGTATAATATAACTCATTAAAATATCTGTCATTTTAATTTTTTTAACTTACCAGGACACATGCACTCATTAAAGACCGAGAAGAGGAGAAGGAGAAAACACCCTTCTATGGGAATTGGTCACACTGCAGTCCTTTGTTTCTCTCTCCTTTCAGGGTTTTGGACATGTGTGCACATATACCGTATGTGTGTACATGTTTTTCAAGCCACTGGGTCTGGGACTCTAATTCCACAGTAAGCCCTGTGAGATTCAGCTGCCTTAACCACCAGGCCACTGGCCGGCCCTGCTTTGACTTTAAATGTCTTAATTTATAGTTATCCCTCCATTATTTTCATTAAGTTTATTTATTAAATAAACAGATGGTACAGTTTATCTCCCTCGTACATGTTTTTCAGTTACCTGATTTTTATTCGTTGTCACTTCTAGGTTAATATTAATGAAAATGTGATACACATGCCTTCAGAGTCTTAAATTATTGTTGATAAAATGATCAGATAGGGCCGCTCCCATAATGCAGCAGTTAAGGGCCATGTGTAGGTGAGCGGGATCATACATGGCTGACTGTGTTCTGTTCCTGGATGACAGCTTGAAAAACATGCTGGATATGTATGCCCAAAATCTTTAGACTTTTTCATGTGTGCTTGCTGGAGAAAAACAGAGACAGAGAGAGGGAAACTGAGAAATCACCCTCTGGGGGGATGGCCATTCTGCAGTCCCTTGTTCCTTCTTCTCCATTCTCCTCTCTGGATTTGGGGCACACATACACACATACCCGGCATGTTTCTTAAACTGTCAGATCCAGGACTTGAACCTTGGAGTTGACCACATGGGATCTAGTGCCTTAACTACCATGCTGCCTGCTGGCCCCATGTGCCCCAAATCTTGAGAAGTTGGAGAAATGTTGGGAAAATGATTGCGGTGAGACAGCACCTCACTGGGGATTGCTTTTTGTCTCTTTCACTTCTCTCTGGCAAGCTCACATGCCCTCTGGCAATAAAAAAAATCAGATATTTTGGGACCTGAAAACTTATCACTAGAGCCTTTTAGATTGACACTGTATTAGTCTACTGTTGATATATTTAGAGATCCAAACCTGAGAGGAGGCTAAAATATCCTTGAGCTATTGTAGGACTTCCCACATCATTTCCAGGTACCTGAGAACAGTCTTTGATTTTAGACAGTACAGCAGCATACTCAACCTATAGAGGTGGCCCTTATTAATCTCTTTGTGGCCAGATGACTTATGTTAGCTGCATTATCCTTACAGAAAAATCATGATAAAAACACTCATGTAGAGCTTTTAATGGTGGAGAAACTCTTCGTGTACCAAATACTTTTTTTTTCTTTTAGGTTTTTGCCATAGGGTGCGGGCACTCACCAGAAACAGTGAGAGAGAAAGTGAGAAATGATCCCCCAGGGGGATAGCCACACTGCAATCCCTTGTCCTCTAGTCCTTTTGGGATTTGGGGCACACATGTTCAAGTGCCTGGTATGATTTTCAAGCCACCAGTTCTGGGACTTGAACTGCCATCAGCCATGTGGGAGTCTAGTGCCTTAATAACCATGCTACCTGCTAGTCCATCAAATAAATATTTTAAGCATAAAATATCTTAGTTTCCATTCAGCTAAGTGCTTAGGTTCTATACAAGTTAAGTTATCTCTAATAGGACCAACAATTAGGCTAATAATTCTGCCTGAGGCATATTAATGTTGGACAAGTAAAAGTTTGATTCCTTATTTGCATAGATAATATATTTTTGATAAAAGGGGCATTAAACAATAAGGATGGTCGAAATTCTATTCTTAAATATTAATAATTATCCTAAAGATTACTTATTAAAGCCTTTGAAGACACATTTCACTTTATATTTAAAACTGATAATTAATGAGATATATTCCCTCCCAATAGGTATCATTTAAAGGATGTGATTGTCGGGAAAATTTACTTCTTATTAGTAAGAATAAAAATACAACATATGGAGCTACAACTGATCAAGAAAGAGATCACAGGAATTGGTAAGTTGAAAGAGTATTTGTATTAAAAAGCCCTTGTTTGAGAGCCATTTGTCCTGGGAGCCAGGACGTGGCTGGGAAGGGGGCCACTCTCACCTGTCAGGGAGCACACATTCATGAAGCATATATTCATGGAACACAGTTGTGGG